GTTTTTGTTTTGGTTTTTGTTTTTGTTTTGATACTATAACAAATGAAATTGTTTTAATTTCTGTTTTGAACTATTCATTGCTCATGTATAGGAACACAATTGATTTTTGTGTTGATCTTATACCCTAACCTGTAGAATTTATTTTTGAGGCTTCCTTGTGATTTTCCTCACACAAAACCACATTCTGTGAGGCTATAGGTAGCTCTCTTTGTTTCCAATCTGACTACTCCCCCTGCCCACTCCAACTTTTGGATGCCTAGACTTTTCAGTACAGTATTGAACAGCAGTAGCAAAAGCTGGCACCTTTGTCTTGTTCCTGATCTCAGGAAGAAAATTTTGTCTTTCACCACCGAGTTTGATTGGTGCTGTGGGTTTTTATAAAAACCCTCTACAGGAGGAGGAAGTTCTTTTTGGTTCCTAGCAAATATTTCCTTATTTGCTGTTTTTATCATCAAAGGGTGTTGGGATTGTGACAAACGTTTTCCTATACCAACTGAGATGACTGTGTGGCTACCCCTTTATCCTGTTAGTGTAAGGGCCTGGGATTTAGCTCAGTGGTTCCACTGCCTGCCTTGCAAACACAAGGTCCCAAGTTCAATCCCTGGTACCAAAAAAAAAGAAAAAAAAAAAAGATACTTATTCTATTAGCGTAGCATAGTACATGCACTGATTTTCTTAAGGTCAATCACCTTTGCATTTCCAAGATGAATCTCACTCAGCCAAGGTGTGTAACTCTTTTAACATGCTGATAGATTAAGTTTACTAGCATTTTGTTGAGGATTTTTTATTCTATTCAAAAGAGATACTGGTACATAGTTCTCTCTTCCTATGGAATCTTTGGCTTGTGATGGCGGGTGATCCTAGCTTCACAGAGTAAGTTAGAATACGTTTCTTCCTCCTCTAATTTTCTCAAGAGCATAAGCACCAGGGTTTCTTCTTCCTCCTCTTCCTTCTCCTCCTCCTCCACCACCTCCTCTTTTTTTTTCCTTTGGGGATCAAAACCAAGGCCTTCACACTTAGCCACATTCCCAGCCATTCATTGTTTGTTTTTGTTTTTGTTTTGAATTTTGAGATAGGGTCTAGTTCATTTGCTAAGTCACCAGGATGGGCTCTGGCCTGAAACTTGGGATCTTCCTGTCTCAGCTTCCCAAGGTGCTGGAATTACAGAGGTGTGCCACCATTCCTACTGTTCCTGGTAGTTCTTTAAATAGTTGGGAATAGTCACCAGTAAAATCATTTCATCTTGGACTTCTTGTTCACATGTTTTTGTTACTTATTCAATCCTTTCCCTTGTTACAGGGATATTTAGATTTTATATTTCTCAATTTTTGTAGTTTGTATATTTCTAAGAATTTGTTCATTTCAGCTAAGTTATCTAATTTTTTGGCATAAAATTACTCATAGAACTCTCATAATTTCTGATGGTCAATAACAATGTCCTCACTTTTATTCCTGTTGTTTTTTGGGGTTTTTTTACTACTGATTTTAGTTATTTGAATTTTCTTTTTCTTTTCTTCATTTAACCTCCCCCCCACACCAGGGATCAAACTCAGGACCTTGTGCTTGGGAGGCAGGCAGAGTCCCACTGAGCTAAATCCCCAGACTTTCTCTTTCATATTCTAGCTAAATGTTTGCCAATTTTGTTAATCTTTTCAAAGAACTAAACTTTGCTTTCGTTGATTCTACCTATTGCTTTGCCATTCTTTATTTCTTTTAGTTACATTCTAACTTTTATTATTTCCTTCCTTTGGCTAGCTTTGGGTATAGTTTACTCTTTTTCTAGTTCTTTAAGGTAGAAAGTTAAGTTATTGATTTAAATTCTTTCTTCTAGCTGGGTGTGGCAGAGCATGCTTATAATTCCAGCACTTTGGGGGCTGAGGTAGGAGGACAACTACAACTTCAAGGCCAGCCTGGGCTACACAGCAAGACCTTGTCTCAAAAATCAAAAAGAAAAAGAAAAGTCCCGTCTTTTTAAAAATGTAGGTGTTTACAGCTATAAATCTTTTTTTGTTTTGTTTTTTGGTACCGGGGATCAAACTTGGGTCCTTACGCTTGTGAGGCAGGTGGCAGAACCACTGAGCTAAATCTCCGGCCCTTATAGCTATCAATCTTTTTGAGCACTGATTTGGCTGCATCTCATGATTTCTGGTATATTATATTTTTATATTCATCTCAAAACACACTCTAATTTGCTTTGTGATTTTTTTCTTTGATCCACTGGTTATTTAAGAATAAGTTGTTTAGCTTGCATATCTGTGAATTTTCCAGTTTTCTTTCATTTACGATTTCTAGCATTATTCCACTATGGTTGAAGAAAATACTTTGTATAATTTCAAATTTATTGAGACTTTTTTGTGGCTTAACATATAATCTCTCCTGGTGAATAGTTCACACGCACTTGAGAAGAATTTGTATTCGCTGTTATTGGGGGAAACTTTCTATATACGTCTGTCAGGTCTAGTTTGTTTCATAGTATTGTCCAAGTCCTCTGTCCCTTCACTGATTACCTATGTAACTGTTCTGTCCATTACTAAAAAACAGTTATTGAAATCTCCTGCTAACATTGTAGAATTCTCCCTTCAACTTGATCATCAATGTTTACTTCCTACATGGTTGCTTGTTTGTTTCTTTTATGAGGCAGGGTCTCCCTTGTAGTTCAGGTTGGCCCTGAACTCACTACGTAGCCCAGGCTGGCCTCAATACTTCCCACATCTTAAGACTCTGCTATATATCTTCTTGAGGAATCATCCTCTTTATCAGTACACAATACATGCTATATAAGTACTCCCCCGCTGCGCCCATCTCCAGCCTACCTGATTCTTTTTTATTTTTTTATAATGTTAAATATTTATTCAAGTCAATATGTTGAGAATATTTACAAATAGCCTTGTATAGCACTTGCAACTGTTTTAAACTTAGGGTACCAATTCATAGTACACAAGGAAAAAAAGGTGATCTTTAAAGCTACTGTCTGAACGGAATGCAAGAGAATTTTTTTTTAACAAACACTTAAATGTCCTTAACATATATTTTCAGTATACTCAGAATAGGGAAAAGATGCGGTTTGTTTTGTGAGTTTTTTTTGTTTTGTTTTGCTTTTTTTTATATTGAGGATTAAACCCATGAACATGCTAAGCAAGTGCTATACCACTGAGCTGCATCCTCAGCTAGAGTTTGCTTTAGCTTAATAAGGGTCTCAAGAATTCCTGTTTTTCCTTTAGATAATGCACTGACTTCATAGTTAGGCTAAGAAACATAATGGCAAAGAAAAGGTTTCAAAATACCTGTCAGTATTTTTGTTTTCAATTAAATTCTCCCCAGATGTTTTTCTGCAACTTCAATTATTCCTTATTCTACTTTATAACATTTTCATGTTCAACAACATTACTGTTTATCCCCCTTAAACATTTAAAATAAATAGGGGTAAGGATGTAGCTCATTGATAGAGTATGTGTCCAGAGTCCTGAAAAAGTTGATTCTGACAGTTTTTGCTTGACCTTTTCTGATCTAGCTGGCACTATAGGAGGCTGAGGCAGAAAGATTGCAAGTGTGAGGGAGGCCTGGGCAACTTAGCAATTTAAGTTGTCTTAAAATATAACATAAAAAAGGTCTGGGGATATAGCTCAGTGAAAAGGCTCTGGGTTCAATCCTAAAAAGAAAGAGAGAGAGAGAGAGAGAGAGAGAGAGAGATCTCATCCATATGGAATCTATAGTGTGAAGTAGATTCAATTTTACTTTTGCCAAATGCCTATTTAGTTGGATCTATTCTACTTCTCATTTTTTTTCCAGGATTAAATCTAGGGATCACTGAACTACATTCCTAGCCCTTTTCAAAAATTTTTATTTTGAGACAGGTCTAAGTTGTCCAGGCTGGCCTCACCCTTGTGACTCTCCTGGCTCAGCTTCCCAAGTATCTGAGATTACAGGCATGTGCCACCATACCTGGCTTTACCTTACTTTTTAACAAGACATCTTTTACCCAGTATTTTAAAATGCTAATTTCTCCAGGGAAGGCTCAGTGGTTCAGCCTGCCTCGCAAGCACCAGGTTCTAAGTTCAATTCCCAGTACCAAAAAAATAAATAAATAAAAAATAAAATAAAATGCTAATTTCATCTATTTCTAATTCTTTTTTTTTTTGGTACTGGGTATTGAACTCCGGACCTTGTGCTTGCGAGGCAGACGGCAACACCACTGAGCTGAATCTCAGCCCAAATTTTCTGTTTTATTTCCTTGGTCTCTCTGCTTATTCATGGACCACTAACACTACACTGCTGACATTGTAGACATTTCCTTTCCTTTTTTCCCTCCTTTTCTTTCTTTTTTTCTTTTTCTGTAGACATTTTTTAGAATAGTTTAAAATGGCAAAAAAAAAAAAAAAGTCTGGATGTGGTGGCACATGCTTGTGATCTCTGCATTCAGGAGGCTGGTCATGAGTTCAAAACCAGCCTTGGCTACATAGTGAGTTTGAGGCCAGCCTGAACTACATAGGGAGACCCTGTCTCAAAAAACAAAACCAAAACAAACAAACACAGAATAGTTTAAGATGTGGAAAGGCTAGTATCCTCTCATTGCTCTTCTTTTGGGGATTTTCTTTGTTAACCCTGCTTATTTGTTCTTCAATGAGAATTTCAGAATTAGCTTGTATTTTTAGTGGGATCACCTTAAATATATAAACTACCTCAGAAAGAAGTGCCCTTCCTTCCTTCCTTTCTTTCTCTTTCTTTCTTTCTTTTTCTTTTTCTCCCCTTCCCCTCTTTCTTGAGATAGGATCTCTCTATGTAGTTTAGGGGCTGGCCTCGAACTTGCAGTGATCCTCCTACTTCAGCCTCTTGGGCACTCAGATTATAGGCCTGCACCACCACACCTGGCCTGATTGTACACTTTGAAGCCTATTTTAGTGTCTGTGTGGAGTGCCTGTTTATTACTTTCTTCTAATTCATTGCTTTCTCAAGATCTAGGAATCATGGAAATGGAGGCAGAAATAGAGCATTCTCCATACCTGCAGATGTCTGTGCATGGGTCTCTGTGTGGCGCTGGCAGACTCTACTCAAGAATTCACTCACTTGATGCAAGGAAAGAGCATTATGCAGTGTTTCCAGGGGGTATATGGTAGGTACCATGGAGCACCCTTCAAATCCTGTTGGGAAAGAGATGGGCAAAGCCATGTTATTATTGCCAGATGCACTCCAATTGCCCAAGGAGGCTGAGTCCCTGAAAGCCATCAAGACAGTCTGTGGCTTTTAGAGTGTGGGGTATCCACGATTTCCAGGACAGGAAACTCTTTAGAGCTCCTAGGGAAGTCTATTTCTCTCACCTCTAGATTTCCTAAAAGGTCTACCTATTAATGCCTCCAGGAGAATCATCAAATCACCTCTCATATTGTCTATGGAGAGACTGCCATGCCCCATGGAAAAATCAACAGCTTCCCAGGAGGGGAGGCACTAATGCTGGTCTGGCACTTTCTGAGAAATGAAACAAGGGTCCAGAGGTAAGAAGTGATACTATAGATCTAATGTGAGGCAGAGTGGCCATGGAGCTGGGCAGGTCAGCAGGTTTCAGTTACCATGAAGAAGAAAATCAGATTAAGGAGGAGGGCATGGAATTGGAGAAGAGATTCATGCAAGTCTACAATGTGGGGAGAAAGGTTGGAGTATCTGGATGCAAACGGAGAGCATGCAGTACACATGAAGCTGAGCCAAGGAAATCACATGCATGAACAGGGCGGGGACGGAAGTTCCTTCTTGGTCATTTCATTTTTCCCTCCTGCTCTACTTGCTAGAATCTCTCTACTCTGTCAGGAAAATGAGGCAAACCCCCCTTGAAAAAAGAAGACTGATTCTCTACTCTGGACTCAGTAATTCCAGTTTAGGATGGCCAGACCCAGTAGGGTCAAAGGTAAACCTACATGTGTCCCTTACTCCCAGGGATGGAATAAATGTTCCCACTGGAGAGTCAAGAAACATGCACCCAACCACTTTTTCAGGCCCCAGTCTTCCCAATGCCTCCTCTACATCTCTTTAAAGTGATTCACATCCTGCTCACCAGTGACTAACATCAGTAATTCCAAATAATTTTACCTGATCACCCTCTAACCTCTGGACTTTGTTTGCCCAAGAATTTAATTGGGACTTCTGTGCCTCAGTTTCCCCCTGTAATCCAGTGGCAGGACAGCAGAGGAGTCTCTAGCTCCTCTGAATAGTTTGAAAATGTTTAGATCAGAAGTGGTAGCAGTAAAGGATTAGAGAGATAAGAACAGGTTCCAGCACAAGAGGTTACTCTAGACTGACTACAACTGGGGGACATGTAACTCTGGGGGCAGTGAGAAAGAAGAATAGGAAGAGGGGTAAGCAGCCAATGCTACAGCTACCAGGCAGTCTGCCCTGACCCCATCCAAGCAACTAAGTGCAAGTCACATGACCTTATAGCACACAGGAGAAAGGACCGGATGGGCTCTCCTGTCAGAAGTGCAATAAGCAAAGCAATCGGTTCCAGCCAGGATAGTGGCAGCAGCCAGCCTGCAGAGGGGGATACCGTAGAGGCACTCGGGGTCATCCTGGCCTGAGCGCAGCCAGTTCCGGAAGAGGCGCAGGTGGTAGGAGCACTGGTGCAGATGATGTGCCAGTGTGGCATCCAAGGAGACCGGCCGGCACCCTGGGCAGTCAGAGGAAAAACCACGCAGCAACCGGACCACAGGGTGCTGGTCATCCAGCAGCTCTGGACAGGGCAGGGGGCCACAGTAGGAAGCACAAGGGTAAAGAAAGAGAAGAGGAAGAGACAATGAAGGGGCAGTGACTGGCAAAGCATTACTGGGGAGTGGGGGCCACACAGATCCAAGGTGAGCTAAGAGAGAAGGTGAGATGGTCAGGGCCACTGGGCATGTCTCGCAGGCAAGAACAGTGTGGGCATCATTCACTAAGTATATAAGAGGGATGAAGGAGAGGAAGGCTCATCACACCACAAGGTCCTGTGCTTCCTCCTGGAGCATAACTCAAGCAGGGCTGACAGAGAACACCCACAGCCTCTGGACAGGGACGTGCTGGTGGTTCTGAGGCTGACAACTTGGACTGGGGCTCTACTGTCCCTGATCAGATCATTCTACAAACTAATTGGAGAATGATATTTACCAGGTGGGGCAGAGATGAAACGAGTGAAAGTCACATAGAGAAAAGGCTCAAGAATGGGATTGGGTATCCCAAGAAGTCTGAAGCTAAAAGGGCCCCTGAAAGCTCAGGCTAGGCCTCTGGGCCAGACACTAAGATAGCCCCATACAGGGCTGGTGCCAGGTAGGTGGCACAGAGCACTGTCAGGAAACCAAAAATAGGATTCCTTTAAAATAATGCATGTAAGCTGGGCATGGTGGTGCGTGATGGTAATCCCAGCTCTTGGGAGGCTGAGGCAGGAGGATTGCCATGAGCTCAAAGCCAGCCTGGGCTACACAGTGAGTTCAAGGCCAGCCTGAACTACATTGCAAGACCCTGTCTCAATAACAAAACCAAAAAAATGAACAAACAGAAAAAACCAACAGTGCATGTAGAAAATGAAACAGTAATTACTTTTACCTTACTCTTGTTCTAATAAACACATATATTTTAAAGTATGCAAAAAGCTCAGGACTTGGGAGACACTGTATCCCTTACAGAAGCCAAAGTTAGATGATTTTATGTTTTCTTTCCATTGCTGATGATCTAGACACACTGTTTTCTGCTGGTGAGTAGAAAAACTTTGATTTTAAGCACCTCGTCATTTTGGCTGCTTAGCAGACTGGATGCATAGAATTGGCTGCAAAAGGCTGAAGGCAATAGAAGGCCTATGGAAGCAGGTATAAGAGGAATAACAGGAAAGGATCTGGAAAAAGAAATGGAATCTAAAGGCCTGATGCAAAGACAGGTAAGAGCTTTGAGTACAGGACGTTACCATAGAGAAGGTAGAACCAAGGCCACTGAGGATGACTACTCTGAACTTAGACCAGAACTGGTTCCACAGGGTGACCCCACAAGCATATACTTTTCAGAGACCTTGGTCCAGATGTCAGAGGAAAATTCAGCTCTACCCAGGCTATTCTGGTGAGCACTAACTGTTCCAACAGTCACACAGTTGTGTGGGTCCCTGGAAGATAACAGGCTTGACAAATCCATTAGGCACACTCTGACCTTTGGAATGAGGGAGAGCCACAGTCTCTTTCCCACTTTATTAATTTGCTTTGGCGAGTTCAGCATACAGTTTAGTAACAGGCCACACTTGTGTGCTGGATATTATCACAGGATATGATAGAAGCTTATCAGAAACAGAGGCAAGGATGAACTGAAGAAGGCTATTCTTCCATCAAAGAATGGAGGCAATATTGCCTTGCCTCCTTTCCAAGGCCAGGTCCAGTTTTCCCAGCTGCCATTTCCAAGCCAGATATCATGCAAGGAGATGGTGGTGATGGGACAGTAGGTTGGCACACTGCTGTAAATAATCTGCCACAAGCAACTACAGACAGAGCACCCACTCTGTAATTATTGGGTCAGTCAAGCAAGACCTTGGCCATAGGGTGGGGCTCTCATACTGTCTGAAGGGACAGATTAAATCTAGATCATGTTCAGCAAGAGACATTAGCGCTGAATTTCTGCTGCTGTCAGCAGTGAGATCCCCAATTCTGGCTTCTCAAGCACATCAGCCTCCAAGCTCAAGCACGAGGAAAACAAAGGAGGCCAGAAGACCCCGGAGGAAGTATGCAAAGTACTAGAGGAGATCTTGAATTTGTTCTCCTGCATTATACCTGAACTGTCCAGGTCTTTCTTCCTCTCCTCCTTATGGTAAAATTAGTTCTTGTGTTCTTCAGCTGGTGAGTCTGCCAACAAAGACTTCAAGGAAGTCTGTCTTATGAACATGGGTCTTTTTCTATGGTTCCTAAGAACCTAGGAGATATATGATCTATTTCTAATTTCAGGGGCCTCAACTCCTGGTAATGGATTATGGACCCTACATCCAAGTTCCTGGCTTGGGACCATGGGCCAGGTATGTCAGGACTATCACACAGGAAGGCCAGAAAGGCTTGAAGCCAAAAGAGCTGGTACAGCCATGTTGCTCTGAATGGTCCACAGGTACAAACAGGAGCCAGAGGCTGTAGCCTGTTAAACTGAGAAAAATCTATGCTTGTCAGCCCCGGGAGAAATTCCAGCAGTGCTAGTGGGGACGTATGACCTGCCTGGTCTAAAGTCTCTCATGTGCGACTGGCCAGGCAGCAGGAGGCGTCAGCACAGGAACCCTTCTGGCCAAGAAACCAGGCTAATTTTATCTCCTTCAGATTGTCTTCGCTCTTAGAAGAAAATCACATCTAACAAAAATACATTTAACTTCAGGACAATGTACAATGCAGAGAGAAGACTAAGGGTATAGACACTCAACAGGGAGTCGGCCTTAGTTCTCCTGCCATGCCCTACAGAAACTCTGTGGTTCTTCAGTTTTGATTTACAAGATCATCAAACTCAACCCCTTAGTGTGGGCAGACCCAGTTCTTCAATATTCATTTTTAATGTCCCTGAAGATCCTCAACAAATATCTCAACTCTTTACTTCCAGTTTCTCTGAGATGGCTATGCCATAGGTTGGCTGGAGCCACATGGAAACTAACTACATTTAAAACTCAAGGAGGGGCCAGGTATTTAGCTCAGTGGTGCTGCGCCTGCCTCACAAGTACAAAGTTCTGAGCTCAATCCCGGGTACTAGAAACAAAACAAAACAAACTCAAGGAGCAGAGCATGGGGGCACATGCCTGTAATCCCAGCACTCAGGAGGCTGAGGCAGGAGGATCACCATCAGTTCGAAGCCAGCATGGGCTACATAATGAGTTCAAAGCCAGCCTGAACTACACAGCGAGACCCTGTCTCAAAACAAAAACACCTCAAGGGTTCAATTTCCAAAACCAACAAAACAAAACAAGAAGAAAAAACCTCAAAATTTAATCTTTTTTTTTTTTTGGTTTTTTTTTTTTTGTTTTTTTAGAAA